TAACGGGTGCTTCCGGTGGAATAGTCTGAGTGGTTTAATAAAATAAAAATTGACATAAAACATTAAATAAACCTACAGCAGAGGAGAAAATTGTTTTGTTTTGTGTTACATTGTCAGTCATACCTGTGTGTTTTGTTTTAGTCGGAGAAGGATACAGAGAGCTGCTCACTGCAGACGGGCTGGACATCGACAACATGAGGCACAAAGTGAAGGACTACTCTCTGGCCGGAGCCTACAGGCGCATCATCATCAGACCCGCTGATGTCAGCTGGTCAGCACCTCTCACTGCCTTTTTCACCCAATGCAGTGCATGACTTGTAACAATCACAATTACTGTTGTGCTTTGCTCTTTCACAGTTAAACATAATGGTAGTGATAGATTAATTGTGTACTGCTCTTACTGAATGCTTTGTTAAACTGTTGCTCTGTTTACTGTAGTACTACATTTCCTTGTATTTGTCGCTGTTCTGTGCAGGGAGGTCATTAATTACGATGACCCCAGGGTGTCTCTGGTGCATAGTGATTTTGAGAAACTAGAGAACAAACCCGCACCTGTCTTCAACAAAGGTAAACTTATTTTTACGCCTGTTTAGATTTGTGTCAACGATGGATGTAAAATTTTATTTAATTTCCATAGATTAAAACTTTTAAACTTGCAGGCATAAGTCAAGTATGCATAAACTCAGTTTATTTAAAAGGGAAACTGACAATAAAACTTACAATATGAGATCATTTCAAGGGCAGATTTTGAATGAAGTACAATAATAAATGGAGGACATGTATGATATCCAACAATCAAAAGCATGAATTATTTATTTTACTAGTTAAAGTAGAAGAAATAATGTTTTGTTTACAACCTGCATAAACTGTGCCACTCTCCTTCCTCCTGACAGAGGGGAAATATCGCGCTCTGCGGATGGAGTTCTCGCTGCCTCCATCGACCTACGCTACTATGGCAATCAGAGAAGTCCTCAAGCTGGACACCAGCATCAAGAAACAGACGCAGCTTAACACGACCTGGTTTAACTGAGACCACGACACCTTCAGGCATGAACTGGACTGTTGATGCAGTGGCTGCTTACTGTTGTTTTTAAGTCATGTGTAGTATGTGTGTATGAGAGAGCATTTGGGTTTTATACAAACCCAAAGATAATTTCTTTGACGTACAAAGAGCAACAGTTTATAATTATTGAACTTTTTTTATGTTTTTATTTGCTTTGACAGGTTTTTGTGCTGCACATTGCGATTTCACATATTTTGACAAGATTTAAATATGTTGTGTGCTTTCAAGGCACTCACACATTCAATAACTACTGCTGCTGGTTTTGTACAGAGATAAGAACTTCTTTTTAGCTCAAAGCTAATGGCATAAGTTTTTTTGAGAAGGAAGAGCAATTTAAATTGTTGAGAGAATCGGCACAGTGTGTGTGTATGAACAAAAAAATCTGAAATATTTTTTTTCTTTTTTTGTCCTTCCACGTGTAAAAGTGGTAATAAAGCTGTTATCTCTCCTTTCAGTCTTTTCCTCTGCAAGATGTTGTGATTGCAATGATTACAGTAACACCGTCTCCCTCTAGTGGTTGACCTCTACTACCAAAACAAAAGTGAACAGATCCAGACTACTGATCCTACTGGACACAGTTAGTAGTGGTGGAAGAAGCACTATTTTATTTTTTGTATTCCATTTTATATCACTACAGATAAGCTTAGTTCACATTTAGTGGGGGGGTTGAGATCCAAATGTACAAAATATTAATATTTGATTCTGAAGCATAATTAGTTGCCTGCTAATAAAACTGAAGTACGGTTGAGTACTACAGTACAGTACAGACTGTTCAACACTCTCAGGTGTAAGCTGGATTTTTGATGCAAGCTACAAAAAACTAGTGCTGCTACTTACTGTTGTGGTTGGAAGACTGTTATATGTGAGTCTGAGAGAGGATTTAGGTTTTATATAAACCCAAAGGTAATATTCTGTGAAGTGCAAAGTAACTGTTGATGGTTATTCAGCTTTTTTATGCTTTTACTTGTTACTTGCGAGGCTGTATACTTTTTAGGGTGCTCACACTTGGAGTAATCCTTCTGGTTTACTGTGCAGAGATGATGACCAGTTTTAGCTGTAAGCTAAAATGTATTAAATTTAGAAAAAGCAGGTAAAATTGTTGAATCAGGAATGCAATGACAATTATGGTTTGAATTTGACTCTTAGATGTAGTAATGACGCTGTTACGGCCTCTGATCTCTAGAAGGCGTCTGGGTAAATGATGTGACTGCAAAGAACTGATTAACACAGTCGCCCTCTAGTGGTAGTCAGTGCCAACATCAGTATGCTAGTATCAGTATGCAGCTGGTCAACAGGCATGGTGGCCCAGACCAACTGCAATCCTCTCAAATTATTACAGATCACTGCAGAGAGTACTCTGCAGTGATCTGTAATAATTTAAGGTCATTTCTTAATCATTTATTTATAAACAGCTAGTAAAGTACAAAAAAGATAAGAAGTGAGAGTCCAGTTGAAACAGATATTTGAAAGAAACAGGAGATATGAATTGTCTCTGAGTTTATTAAATGTATTAAAGCAGAAGCACTTTGCCTCTAAAGCGCTGAATGTATGGAACGTTACAAGAGTAAAAAAGGCAAAAAGATCAAAAACATTTTTAATGCGTAAAACAATGTGAATAATTCTTATAATAATGAAGTGCTACTGTAAGCAAATGTTTTTATCATGATATATATATAT